ATGAATCATATCTGAAATTAAAATCCTTTATAGAAATTACTCTGAAAGCAAAATTATTTAAGAAAATTATTTTAGAAGTGAATTTCTTTAAAGAAATTCAGTTCTAGATGCATTTTTTTTTAAGAAAATGCTATCAGATGCATTTTTCTTCAAAGAAAATATCATTAAGTTCATTTTTCTTCAAAGTAAATGTTATTAGATTTGTTTTTCTTTAAAGAAAATGTTATCAGAACTATTTTTTTAAGTAAATGTTATAGGAGTATCTTTTCTTTAAAGAAAAACCTCTTTTGAATTTATTTACTTCAAAAAAAAAAATGCAAACCAACAAGCTGAACTATAGTATAAACTAAGTCATAGCATAAGTATTTTACTTTTAGGTTTTATTTTATAATAGATTTCTTTAAGATTGTCTGACAACTCTTCTAGTTTACCAATAATATCAGTATTATTAATGTCAAGTCTTTCTTATTTGGTTTGCAGCTCATTTTATAGTAGCTCAAACTAAACTTAGATAAGCTAACTCGTTTGACTTACAAGCAGCTCAGCTTATTGCAGAGTTTTAGATTTGATTTTATAAATATAGCTTTCAATATTATGTCTAAAATAAATTAAATTAGAAATAAATATAAATAAAGTATAAAATATAATAATATCAATTATATTTTATTAAATTTAATATTATTTTAGTTTATTAATTTAACTAAAAATTATTAAATCAATTACTCATTTTAAAATTATTTATGATACTTTGATCATAAGGTTGAAGGTGTATAGTAGTGTTTGGGAGGAGGTATTAAATAGCAATATTAGTTAAGCAGATAATTTTATAAAGAGTATATATTAGATAAAGATGATGTTGCAATATTGTGATACTTATTTGTCACCTGTTACAACTTAAATTTTAATAATGTTGCAATTTATTGCAATATTGTAATGCTTATTTATTACCTGTTACAACTAATTGAGACATTATTTTTAATATCAAAGTATTGTTCACAAGAAAAAGAATGTTTCAGTTTTATCTTTTCATTTTTGTATCAAGTTTTTTATGTACTAGTTTCAAATTAAAATCTGTATCTAACTTTTTAGTTCTAGTATTTGACCTTTTATCAATGTTTTAATAATTCTAAAATTTTTATACTTGTATATGAACAAAAATGTTAGCTTTTTACTTTTTGTTATGTTGTATGTAAGTAGAATCATTACACAATCCTTTAATTATTTCATTTCTAATATTTGTTTATTAGATATCATTTGACATAGTTTCATATTTCAAAACTAAAACAATTCTTTTTTATTATAATTGAATATGTTTTTAGGACTATAATATTTTAATATTTATTAGAGATTCTTTTTTATTATTTTGAGATTTTTGAGTGGTGTACTTGTGATTTCTCTATGTATATGATACTATTTAAAGTTGTGTCATTTTTTTAAAATTGTCTACTTAATCACTAAACCCTTTAAACTTATCCTTTTTTAATGAAAAAGTAAAATTCAAGGCTTTAGTTAAAAGAATATTATCAGTAATAATAAGATCAGTTTTAAATACGTTATCTACCAAATTGCTAATATTTCTTTAATAAGAGAAAATGAAGTTTTCTTATTATGTTTCAAATTAACTTAGTATGAATTAGTATCTATAAAAAACTAATGGTCTTTTTTCTTTAAAATATTATTTACCATACCTTCATTAATATTATATTTATTAATTAAGTTTTTTTGTTTTAAAAAAGATGATGATATTTTTTTAAACAAAATTCTTTTTTTGTATAACTATAAGAGATTTTCATTTTTTTTTAAAGATTCATCTTGTTTATTAGTAAATTCATTATTTATTTGAGTTTACTTTTAGTATTATGTAAAGAAAAAAATATGTAAAAAATAAAATATGTAAAAATAATCATAAAATATAAAATACAATATATAATATAAATATTTATTCATTATTAATTTTATTAAAAAAAACTAAGTATAGAGAATTATAAAATTTTATATATGTAAATCTAGTAATATTCATTTTAAGTAAAACTTTATTATATTAAAAAAACTTCGTTATAGAACAATTTGTTATAAAAAGAATTATTTTATATATAAATTTTTTCTAACTTTAATTTGTTAAACATAGTATGAATTTTTAATTAACAAATTCAGTATAGTAAGGTTTGTTTATATTTAAAAATTTATCTAACACTGAAAATCTATTATATTGTCAAATTTGTAATATTAAAATTTACTATTAAAAAAGTTGACTGTATATTTTTATTTTATTTATTATTTTTATATTATTTAGATAATAGTGATATTATAATGATAAATATTTAAGATAATTTGAAAAATTTAAAAATGAAACTTAATTATATTTTATTATTTATTATTATTTTATTATCTTTTTACATTATTCTATTTTACTTATATTTTTTAATAGAAAATTAATCAGTAGGTTTTATAATATTTTTATTATGTTTTTGTGAATTTTATATTAAATTTTATTATTAATAAAAATTTTAATATTTAATAAATTTAATTAAATAAAAATGTATTAATTTTATATATTTATTAATACTAAATTAATGCAATCTTATAATTGTTTAAATTCTGAATTGATATCAAATTATTTGTTTAATTAGAATTAATTAATGATATTTTAGATTGATTTATGATTAAATTAAATTCTAAATTAATGTTAAATTGAGATTAATTTTAAGCTAATTTATAATCAAGATAAATATCACAATTAAAAATATTACAATTAAGTTGTAACTTATGATATTATTAAATTTTCTTATAGCGTAATTAAGTTGCAACTCAATTAAAATTTGAAAATAATTATGGGAACTATCTTTATTTAAGTTTTAAATTAATACTAAATTATTTTACTAATTGAAAGCGATCTGTTATAATTGAAACAATTAGAAAATATAACTAATCAGCTACAAATAATATCAAAATTAACCTAAATTTAACTATATGATTTTAGCTGATTTGGATTATTTTGATTAGTGATAATTATATAATATAAAATATGAAATGAAGATTAAAGAGTATAAAGTTTTAGCATCATAAGTACTATTTTTTCATAAAATAATTATAATTGTATGACGTTATGCAAAAGTAATATAAGCTATATTGAATTAAAAATGAAATTATATAAATTATATAAAATATAAAATAAATAATGATCAACATTATATAAATGTAGTTATTGCATAATTATATAAAATTATTTGCTAATTACATATACTACAAGGATTATTAAAATTTATTTATACTAAATTTTTATTTCAAAAACTTTATCATATACTATATTATATATATTTAAAAATTATAATTTTTTACTTTTATATTACTAGAAATTAACTAGTAAATTAAGTAAATAATATATAAAAGTTATTTAATATAAGACATTAATTATAAATCTTTTTTTATTTTATGAAATATTAGCTATTATAAAATAATGATAAGCTTTTACTATAATAAAAATTCCATTATTTATTTTTAAATATAGGCAACTAAGTAATTTTGATTACTAGTATAATTTTGAATATAAAGTTGAAGTTACACTTAAGAAGGTTGTAACCTTAATTGTTGATCTTTCAAAAAAAAATATATATATATATATTTTTAAAGTCCCGATCTTTTCTTTTTTGAGTTTTGTACATTAGAACACAAAGTTGCCAATTCAGAGTCTGTTTTCTTCTAACAAGAATTAATTGACGCGAAAGTTACACGAACATTGTGATATCACGTGTTTAGAAATTGAAGTTAAATCTACCGTATATCGGTATTCCGGAATACGAAACAGCTTTTATTGAACTGTCCTCCGGATAAATCGAAATCCAAACTTTACAAGTCACCACGCACCGAATCTTTTCTTCTTTTTGTCTACCATTTAAAACCGACCAATATGCTTATCAAAGTTAAGGTAAGTCCCTATAAGTATTTATTTACTTTTTCTTTGTAGAACGAATTAGGCAGTTCATAGATCTATTCATATTCATTTCAACATTTTTTTTTTATAAATCTTTAGACACTTACTGGCAAAGAAGTAAGTATGCGTTTTAATAAGAAATTGTAAAAATATGTTATTGATTATTTCTTTACAACTTTGTAGATTGAAATTGACATTGAAGGTTCAGATACAGTATGTTTGTTTAATACCATTAATAGTTTTTTTTTAAAATACTAAATTCTGATGTAATGTTTGATTTTAATTTTAGGTAGCAAAAATCAAAGAACGTGTAGAAGAAAAAGAAGGTATTCCACCAGCACAACAGCGTCTTATTTATGCCGGTAAACAATTGTAAGTATCAGAAAAAAAAATAAGGGATTAGAAATTGTTATTGGCAAGATTATCTTACAAGATAAATTAAATTTAACTTATGGTACAATAGGACCGATGACAAGACAGCTAAAGATAGCGGTATAATGGCCGGTGAAGTTCTTCATTTGGTGTTAGCTCTTCGTGGTGGAAATAATTGCTGAGGACATGTTCATTTTTCTATATATTTACTATCCTGTGCTTATTAATATTAAAGTTTGAATCGGCTGATTTTATATAATGCGATGAATATGTAATAATTAAGAATTTGTTAATTCCTAATGTTGAATTAAGAAACAAAACTTTTTGATCAAATACAAGATTAAATACTAGAATTCCATACTTTATCAACACAAAAAAAAAACCAAAAAAAAAAATTCGTGTCATTTAGATGTATTACCTCAAAATTGTTGCCTTTTTTAAATTGGATGGTCATCATTATCTAAAAGATACAAATATATATCTCGTGTATTCTGAAATTTCTCCTTTATAAGATATCAGGAATAAACCTGATTATCCGCAGTTTGATTTCTTCATATGATTTTAAACATTTTTGAAGATCTGTTATTGGGAGTTGGGTTGCATCAGTTTATGTAGCAATCAAGTTAAAAAAAAATTATCTAAAAATTTTATCAGTCCACTTTTTGTTCCTAATTCACGTCAATACTGGGTTATAAAGATGTATCGAATGTTTAAAATTTGTTCCAAGCCCGTTAACCTGGTAATATTTTATTAATGATATCATTAAAAGAACTTTCGAGTATCATAATTCGAATACATAATTTAAAAATACAAATTATAGATTTCAACCCAAACCCTTTCTCGAAGCTTTCATGCATCGAAACCAGCTTCACAAGTGATTGCCTCACAACCATTAAGAGCAAAGGAAGCACCCGTAATAATAATATAAAATTCATATATTGCTTCGATATTATTTATTTACATATTAATTAATTGCATTGCATTTTAATCAACTAGTCTACAATTTCTAGCAAATACCCAGTCATTGATCACTCATATGATGCTATTGTTGTAGGTGCTGGAGGTTCCGGCTTGCGTGCCGCTTTTGGTCTTGCAGAGGCTGGTTTAAATACGGCGTGTATAACTAAATTATTTCCAACAAGATCACATACTGTCGCTGCACAGGTTTGTGCGAAATTCTTTATTATGATTCAATTAAACATGGCAGTTTATAAGCAAGATTCACATTGAATTATGATAACATGAAAGGGTGGTATTAATGCTGCCCTAGGGAATATTACTGAAGATGATTGGCGTTGGCATATGTATGATACTGTGAAGGGAAGTGATTGGCTTGGTGACCAAGATGCGATTCACTACATGTGTCGTGAAGCTCCAAAAACTGTTATTGAACTAGAACATTATGGTGTACCATTTTCTCGAACGGAAGATGGTAAAATTTATCAAAGAGCCTTTGGTGGACAAAGTCTAAATTTCGGTCAAGGTATGTTAACTTGATTCTTTTTTTTTTTTTTTTTTTTTTTTTTAGGATTATTATATCTTTTACTCAAGTTTTGATTTTTCCTTTTGAAAGGTGGACAGGCGTACCGTTGTGCTGCGGTCGCTGACCGTACCGGACACTCTCTTTTACATACGTTATACGGACAATCTTTAAGACATAACACTAATTTCTTTATTGAATATTTTGCCCTCGATTTATTAATGGAAGATGGTACATGTCGTGGTGTTATTGCTCTTAATCAGGAAGACGGAACTTTACATCGATTCCGTGCTCATAAAACCGTATTAGCAACTGGTGGATATGGTCGTACTTATTTTTCGTGTACTAGTGCACACACATGTACTGGAGACGGAAACGCTATGGTTGCTCGAGCCAAGCTACCATTACAAGATTTAGAATTCGTACAATTTCATCCTACTGGCATTTATGGAGCTGGTTGTTTGATTACGGAAGGTATGTAAAATGTTTAGATCGACCCCAATTATATCTATTATACATATTAATATACATATATATATAGGCGCTAGAGGTGAAGGCGGCTATTTACTCAATTCAAAGGGTGAACGTTTTATGGAGCGTTATGCTCCTAGTGCAAAAGATTTAGCTTCCAGAGATGTCGTGTCACGTTCAATAACGTTGGAAATCCGTGAAGGACGTGGTGTTGGTCCTGAAGCTGATCATATTTATTTACAACTTTCGCACTTACCTGCGGAAGTTCTACACGAACGTTTACCTGGTATTTCTGAAACAGCTGCAATTTTTTCCGGCGTTGATGTAACTAAAGAACCAATTCCAGTATTACCTACTGTACATTATAATATGGGTGGTATACCTACGCGGTATACTGGTGAAGTTTTGACGATTGATGAGGTATATATGATGTTTCAATTCATATGGTTTAACGCCGCCTCTCGAATTTTATTGATTAATTAAATCCTCTCACTTTACAGAAAGGAAATGACAAAATTGTTCCTGGCCTGTATGCAGCCGGCGAAGCCGCTTGCGTATCAGTTCATGGCGCCAACCGCTTAGGTGCCAATTCATTACTCGACATTGTGGTCTTCGGTCGTGCTTGTGCACACCATATCAAAGATACTTTGGAACCAGGAACACCTCACAGACCACTAGCTTCTGATGCAGGAGCTGAATCAATCGCTAATCTAGATAAACTTCGAAACGCATCTGGATCAAAGCCAACTGCAGAAATCCGCTTGGATATGCAAAAGGCTATGCAACGTGATGCCGCAGTATTCAGAACACAAGAATCTTTGGATCATGGTATATATTATCGTTATTTGATTTGTTTGCTTTATTTATATTTTTATTGTCATTTTAACATATCTATCTTTAAAAAAAAAAATAAGGCGTCAAAAAAATTGATGAAATTTCCAAGTCATTCGAAGATGTGAAAGTTGAGGATCGATCCATGATTTGGAATTCTGATCTTATTGAAACTTTAGAATTACAGAATCTTTTGACTAATGCTGTACAGACTATGCACTCGGCATCAGTTAGAAAAGAATCACGTGGTGCTCATGCGCGAGAAGATTACCAGGTTTATAAACAATTAATAAATTTTTTAAAAAAAGAACATTGCGTAATAACATTTCTTTTTTCAACATAACAGAAACGTGACGATGAAGAATGGATGAAACACACACTATCATGGCATGATCAAATATCAGGACAAGTTAAATTAAGATATCGGCCCGTAACTAGTAAAACTTTAGATGAAAGTGAATGCGCTAGTGTGCGTATATATTTTTATTGTAAAACTTGTACAATATTTTTTCTTTTAGCTTTTTACGCCATTTAACTTATTTCCTTTTTTTACATTATAAATCTACAGGTTCCTCCAAAGGCTAGAGTATACTAAAAAAAAAAAAAATATGAATTTTTTGATGTTTTAAGAACTTTATTTTTCGGTTATCAATTTTTGTCATTTCATTTTTGTTTCCAACGATGTTATTATATCAACAATCTTTCAATTCGCGATTTTATATGTTGAATTTGAGGTTTAAGTTCAGAAGCTTCATTACTTGTTATGGAAGCAGCAATAACCGCTCGAGATACTCCGCAAGCGCGTCCCAACGCAGTTTTTGAAGGAATAAAAACGTATGGAACATTCTGTTTTGTTGTAAATTAATTAATAAAATTTTTTAAAATTCAATATAAGTTCTTAAAATGATCTTTTGTCTACCTTATCTTCACATAATAATGGAAGATGTAATAAAATCTCAATTGGTTCCGTATCTGCCGTCATCACAATAAATTCAGATATTCCACGATTAAGCGTTTTAGTGGCTAAAAATCAATTATAATGAATTATTATGCCAGATACAATCAAAAAGAATAAAAATTCTTTTTAAGGAAAATAATTAGTACCTTCATTAGCACCTTTCTTTAATTGCTTATAATGTAAAGCTTGTTGAACAAGATCAAGTATTTGGTTGGTTAAATCAGCATCAGCTAAGGGAAAAGCTTTAGGGTTGACAATTGTTGCAGCCTAATAATAAACAAAAAAAAATTTAAAAAAAAATAAAAAAAAAAATTTTTTTTTTATTTTTTTTTTTCTTGATAATTTACCATCTAACAATTTTTTTGAGGTAAAAAAAAATTTTTTTTTGATGTTCATTATATATAAAATAAATCTGATTACAAAAAAAAATTTTTTTTTTTTTTTTAATATACTTGATTTCTACCAAAAAAAATGCGTTTGGAAAAATGTTACTTTTGTTCTTCCACAATATATCCTGGTCATGGGACCATGTTTGTTAGAAACGATAGCAAGGTAATTAATTATAATTTCTCTATGGTATTACAGAAAAAATTTAAAAAGTTTTCACCAAGAATGTATTTTTTTTTTTTTAGATATTTCGCTTCTGCAGAAGTAAATGTCATGCTGCCTTTAAACACAAACGTAATCCTCGCAAAGTTCGCTGGACTAAAGCATTTAGAAAGGCTGCTGGCAAAGAAATGACCATTGTATGTTATTCAATTAACGTTTCTTTTTTTTTTTAACTTAATAATAATATTTTTTTTTCATTTCAGGATTCTACATTTGAATTTGAAAAACGTCGTAATGTACCAGTTCGATACGATCGGGATCTGATGGACACAACTATTAAAGCAATGAAACGAATTTCTGAAATTAAAGCCAAGCGTGAACGCGTCTTTTACAAGGACAGGTTATTAATCATTACTCATTCAGAATTATATATTTTTTTAACCAAAAAAAAGTCTTACTCAAAGCTTTTGTTTATAGAATGTCTGGTAATAAGGAACGTGAAAAGGCGGAGAATATACGCGAAATTCAAAAGAATATTGAACTCGTTGGATCTTCTACCAAGATTAAAGCACAAGTTGCCAAAATTACAGAGAAATCACAACAGAATGCTGATATGGAAATTTCATAATTAAATCAAATTCAAGCATTCTGCTTAAATTTGCTTTATTATGGAATAATTATTGAAGGAAAATCATTATATTTAATAGTACGTGTTTATTAAAATTTAAAAATTACAATTACAATTTACGTTAGAAGTAATATAATAATTTCTCGGATTCATTCCAATTTGCTCTTAATATTTTTGAATTTAGTCAGTTTAATCAGTCGAGATTTTTCTTTCATCGGATGTTGCATTTCCCATAATAGGTCATCGCGATATAATTGTACGGCTGATCATATATATATATATATATGAAATTAGACTTGAAAATAAATGAAACAAAAAAAAATAAGGAATTTTTTTTTTTCCTTACCATCTTCAATATTATAATTTGATTGTTCCATATAAAACTTGGCTTCTATTTGGTCGATACATTTAGATTGTATCTGAAAACGTTTTACCAAGATTTTGTTCTCTTTATAAAATAAATATGCACAATAAATTTAATATATTAATTTAATATAATTGAGTATCTATAATTATTACCTTCTTCCTCTGAAAGCTTCTCTGATAAAGAAGGTCCAACATAATTTGGGATTATTAAAGTCGAACGAGCTATGATCTTGTCATCAAATAATCGATTTGCTTTACGAATATCTGCTATCTAATGTATAAATATATACATTTAAAAGTAACATATTTAGAGAAATTCTCGGAATTTACATTGAATTCCTAATATTTTTTAAATTAAATACCTCAACTCCATAGCTAAAAGCTAACCCAATTAAAGTATCATTTTTCTTAACATAATGAATCGTGTCAAAATGACTCTTCTCTCTCAATTTATCGTTAAAAGAATTTGCTTTTAAAATGTTGGATTTATTTAAATCATTGTAAATAACTTCCTCGTATGTTGGTAACGAATCCATTTTATTATTTGAAATATCACTTTCATAAGTCAATGCAACTTTTTGACAAAATAGGCAATACGTATAAAATCTTGGGTTGCGGTCTAAACAATTATAACAAACCCAACGATTACAGCATTTTGACAGAAATGGTGTTTCAATCGTCGTTGAAGACGACACCGAGGCAAAAAGAACATGACAAATAAGGCAGGATGTATTTTGCATAATTAAAGAAAAGGTTGAAAAGGTTTTTTTTGAAGGAAAGTGGAAAATCAATGTTTATTTATTAATAATCTTCTTGCACGCTGATGATCATTAAGTAACATTAAAAGATGAGGTCATTAACCTTTTTTTTAAATGGCCTTTGGTCATTTGAATTGAAATTTTATATTAATGATATCATTTAAGCATTTGAGGTAATTTTAAGGTCATAGGTCATTTGCCTAATTTTAAAATATAAATTTGGAATAATTGGTATCAATAATGTAATAAAATCTAACTTTTAAAGTATAAAATCTTAATTATATATGTTAAATTTATATTCTAATACTAATATTTCATTATTTAAAAATCAAAAAAATTTGGTTATGCTAAAGTAAATATATACAGAAATTTATATATTAGTATATATAATCTTTTAAGAAAAAATTTAAAGATTATTTCTTTTTATTTTTATTTAATTAAATATAAATAATTATTTTAAGACTTTTTTTTTTTTATAATAAAAGGATTTTTTAAATATTTAAAAAGATTATTAGAAAAATCAGATTTTAGAAATTATTGTATTTTTATTTATTAAAAATTCAATATGTTATCTAGATAAAATTTTGATTATTAAATAAAAATATAATAAAATCTTAAATTAAATCAAAAAATTTTTAAATTTAATTTTTCATTTCTTTTATTATTTTAACATTAAAACTTCTTTTATTTAATATAAAAAAATAATTAGACTATTTAATTACTTTGAAACTAAAAATATTAATATATATAAAAAAATTATAAAATAAAATTAATTTTTTAAAAAAAAATAAACTTTTAGATAATTATAATTTATTTAATTAATTTAAATTATAAATATTTATAAAATATAAATACATTATGGTTTTAATTTTTATTTTATTATTTTTAAATTATTAATATTAGAATATTAAATTTAAAATTTTAGATTTATTTATAAAATTTATTATTAATATTAATATCTTATTATTTCACAGTTATTTATTATGTTTATCTTATTATTTTACAGTTATTTATTATATTTTTTATAATTAATAAATTGATTTATTTTTAACTTTAATAATATAATTATAAAAAAAATATATTATTCATTTTTATCAATTTTATTATTTTATTTATTATTTTTTCTAATACTTTTTTTTAATATTACTAATATTATAATTTTTATATATATATATATTTCTATTTAATAATTTTATTCAAATTAAAATTAAATTATTTTTATTAATATTAGTTATTTTTATAATTTATTAACTATAAATATTATTTTTTATAAATAAATTAATAAATAATATAAATTATATTAAAAAATTTTAGTATTTATATTGTTAAATGAAATAACCCTTGAACTAATGATCAATATTTTGATGAAAATAGTATTATTAGAACTGAGCTTTTTAATGAATATAAGCTCGACCTGATTGGACCAATAGATGATGAGATATTTCAAGAAGAATGATCAAGTATAATTCTATAGATCATTACTAAACAGAGCTATAATTCTTTAACGTGAATTAGTAATTAATCAGCCAGAATTATAAAAATAATAAAAACTATTACAATAATAAAACTGATGATAACGTCATTAATGAATTTAAATATGTTTACATATTTAATATAGTTTACTTAGTTAAACTTATTAATTAAGTTAACAATATTTACAAAGTTTCTGTAGTTTATTAAGTTGTACTTTATCTTAATTTAGTAATAGAATTAGATCTAAAGTTTTATATAAATAGGATAGAAATTTTATGTATTCTAATCAGTCAAGCAGTCTTAGTTAGTCTTTAGTGAATTATATATAAGTCAGATAGTTTTTAGTAAAATCAAGCTAGATAGTCTTGATATTAATTATTAGATAGATTTTCTAATATAGTTTTAATATAGTTTATTTTATAGTTTATTCTTTAATGTTGTAAGTTCGCGAACAAAAGCTTATTTAAATTATTGAATAGTATTGATCTCAATTTCTCTAATTAATAAAACTAACCTTTTATTTTATAACTTTAATTAATTAAACTCATAACATAAAATCTAATCTATCATTATAGCTCTCCCATATAAATATATATATCAATTGTAGTGATTTATATTGATAATTTTATTGACACCAACAAGACTTTAGAATTGTTAACATAAATTGTTATCCTTCAGATACTTAAAACGTTGCTATATGTATTGAAGTCTATTTTTCAGTCAGTAGACTTCACAATCGACTCGTATAATAATATTAAATTCTTATCATTTTTTTTAGCAGATTCAGTAATTAATCTTTAATAAAATAAAATATTATTACAGTTAGTTCTTTAAAAAGCTTATGAGTAATAAGTGAAGCAATATTTATGGGTAGTAAGCAAAAGGTTTAATTTGATAATTAGATTTAAAAGAGTGTCAGTAAATTAACTGTTTATTTAGTAACTATAACAATGCAATATTGCCTCAGTCAACGCTCTATACTATACAATTATGTTAAGGGAATTAAACTAAACTATTTAATAAAACTAGAGCTTCGAATCAGGTTAGGTTGACCTGTTTACCTGACCTGAACTGATCTGAAAATTCAAGTCAGGTCAATAGATTTTCAGGTTGATATCAGGTCGGGTCAACAGGTCAAACCGACCTGATCCGACTTGATAAAAATTCAGGTCAACCAATCATTCTTCTTGAATAATTTATTATCGTTAAATTAGAAATAACAAAGTTGATTAAATAAATTAATAATTATTTATTATATTATTATTTATATTAAATATTTTTTTTTTTTTTTAAAGTTGCAGTACCGGTACAAGGGAACTGTTAAACAGATAGTACAGAGGTGTAACCCTCGATTTATCCTAAATATTCCTCTAAGTCGTGACTAGACACATAGTTCTAGCCAGAACTCGTCCTATATACTAGTCTGAAGATTGCCACCTAGGTCGACATTCCTAAGAGCTAGCCCTCGGGGTCTCTAGTCCTCAGAACCACTGTCAAATTTGGATAGAGGGATCACTTTCAGCTACAGGTACTTTGTTAGTTTTTCTCTGTGCTTACCAACACCATAACTGGATCACTATTACCTCTACCCAGTATCAGGGTATATTTACATATGATCGGGAAGGCTTAGACATTATATATCTTATAGAACCTCAAAAAGGTAGGTGACTGTCGTACCCATATCGTCAAATTCACCCAGGAATTGAACCCGGCCTCTACCCCTAATAATAGCTTGATTGGAAGATGCTACAGCAGTGCAATGTAGTCTATTATCACTTTAACCACCCGTAGGTAGTACTCAATCTACTAATTACTGGTTAATCATTTTCTTACTTGTGTAAAAGACCCTGAAATTGAAGACGTGAGACAGTACCCATTACAGGCTTATCAGCGAAGGCCAAGTTTCTGTTAATCCCTGGCTTCATTTGCATTCACTTGTTCTGCAATTTCAGTATTATATTAAATATATATTTTTTTTTTTTTGCAGTATTCAGATACTGGGGATTCATTAAGCGGAAGTATTAAGGTTATATTAATTTATAGCCTCTACTCCTAAGAATCCCCAAGGTCGTGACTAGACTCATGTTCTAGCCAGAACCTGCCCTGTAATACTGGTCTAAAGATTGCCACCTAGGTGACGTCCCCAAGAGCTAGCCCTCAGGGTCCTAGACCTCAGAACCACTGTCAAATTTTGGATAGAGGGATCACTTTCAGCCACAAGTACTTTTTGTCAGTTTTTCCCTGTACTTACCAACACCATATCTGGATTACTATTACCTTTGCCTGGTATCAGGGTATTTAACACATGATCGGGAAGGCTTAGATGTTATCATCTTTATAGAACCTCAGAAAGGTAGGTGGCTATTGTACCCATATCGTCAAAATCACCCAGGAATTGAACTCAGTCTCTACCTCTAATGACAGCTCGATTGGATGGTTGCTGCAGTAGTATAATGCAGTTTATTATCAACCATAATCACTTTGAGAACATCTCAAGATATCACCCAATCTACTAATTACTAGTTAATCACTTCCTTACTTGTGTAAGGACCCTTGAATTTGAAGACGTGAGACAGTACCTATTACAGGCCTATTAGCATCAGCCAAGTTTCTGTCGATCCCTGGCTTCATTTGCATCCACTTTTTCTGCAATATTCAGTATTTAGGCATGATTAACATCGATCGATGAGTCAATTGACCAGTTTCTAACGCATATTAATATATACGTCCACATATTCAGTTACATATGAAATTCTTATGAAAATCATCTAGTTTTATGCCTCGGCTGAGACTTGA